CATCCATTCATTCATCCATTCATTCATCCATACATTCATCCATTCATTTGTTCATCGATTCATTCATTCATGCACTCTAATAGTAATCAATCAGACTTTCTTACCCATAAAACCTTGATAGTTCCTTGACTAGCTAACTCCTTGTTTATAGTATCGCCATTTGTAGCGAGTATAGAAGATATCAGTTTAGCAATTTGTAGCCTGGAATTGCCAAGTGGTGGGTCTAATGTTCCTACGGTTGTTGGCATCGCATTCATCTGTTATAAAATAACAGAAATGAAAAATTTGACTCAGGGTCATATAAACCATCAAAAAATAATATTGTCATCGCCAAAGGCGATGGGGGAAAGGCGAAAAGCAATAGGAGATATGTCATTCCAAGATCCAAGAAAAGCTGGGATGACTTGTGCTTTTGCTTCTTATTCTCGTCAAGAACATGGACCTTAGTATTGAGACTGATTTAATGCTGTTTGCAGTAGACAAAACCATTTCCATCTCAGAATGACCTATCGCCTATCGCCTTTGGCAATGACAACGTTTTTTGAAATAGGTGTGTGCCACAGGTTTGCATTTAATCAAGTAACTGGTATTCCTAAGCAGTATATTCTCCTCAATTGCACATGGGAGTTGCAATGGAAGCCACAAGCTCCAAGCAAGAGATTGATGCTTAATAACTGATCTAAGTTAAATATCCTCTTATTTTAAAAAGTCATATAACTATGACCAAACAAGCCAATACAATACAGGGCTAAAAATAACGGTGGCCAGATTTGGAACTTTTCCACTCAAATCTTTGCATTGCCAGTTATTTTGGCCAGTAATATTGTCAGCAATTAACGTCATCAGCCAGAAACTACAGTAATTATGAACGAGCTAAAACTAATTTGGCCGGTTATCACGACTGCTGACTGACCATCTTTCATTTGCAGCCCTGCATTTCTTACTCAAATTTCTGAAAACCACAGTATCTACCACTAAAAAAAAACTAAGGACAAAATTAGACTTGGACTTGTATCTTAGATCAGAATAAAATGACATACCAGAGGAGGATCTGTTAGAAGGTCATGGAAATCTTGAAGTCTTGGAGTCAATGCTGCCAAAGTTGCACTAACACCTAATATTAAAATTAAATAAATCATTATTTCTTCATTAATCACTTTTGGCATGCGTACACAGAAGAAAGCTGACAAGATACTGTCTCTTGCATACCTTGAGCAAGCCTTTCTGCATCCAATGCAGTCATTGGTTCTTCTCCTTCACCCCTAACAAATAAAACATTTCTTTACTTACTGATTCCTAAATGGCAGGTAAAATTGCAATAGAACATGAGAACCATATACTGGGTCATGGTTTACTGGTTTCTTTCTGTGTGTAAAACCATTAAAGTAAAGTATGTGATTTGGTAAATGAATGAAACATATAAACAATACCAAATCATTTCAACATGATACTACCATTTGCGAGCTACAGTGAAGAATGACGCGCCAAACCAGTTTTAAAACGTTTGAAACTTTTTGTTTGCTAGTCAAAACTGTCAAGTTTGTTGCAACATACTTTGGAAACAGCGCCACACACTTTTCCTTTTCTCAAAGAATCTTCAAAGCCTCAATACAGGAAGCATTTTTTTTTGTTTCTGTGATAGTGCGTGTCAATTTTTTTCTCGTGTACGACAATGTACTACAGAGGCGCTGTGAAACTTTGAAGATTCTTCGAGAGAGAAAAAGTTTGTGGCGCCATTTCGAAAGTATGTCGTTTTGACTAGCAAACAAAAAGTTTCAAACGCTTTAAAACTGGTTTGGCGCGTCATGCTTCACGGTAGCTCGCAAATGGTAGTATCAAGTTGTCATCCTGTTTTCCACTCACACTAGAGGTGATAGTAATACTTACGGTCCTTTCTTGACTTCAAGTAGTGTGAGAAGGACAAAGATTCCATTGACTAGAGCAGAGTCGTTATGAGTATGGATTCCATGTAGCATATGGTCTAGTAGACTGCTAATAGTCTCTCTTCTGTCAATACCAATACATAAGTAACAGAATAAGAATGGTGCATAGTATTATAGGGTCCAAAGCAAAGAAACATGACAGTGTCAAGTGAACACAACTATTGATAAGAAATGTGGGGGGTGGGGTGGGGGAATGACTGATAATGAATTGTGAAATATTTCAAGGATGTTTAATAGCCAATCAGAAGCGTTATTGTTATCTTTCGTTTATCTTGTGATTACAAAGTCAATTCTGATTGGTCAAAGAACAATAGAACATTCTTGGAATATTTCTAGGTTCCAACGTTTTTTTGATTTGCAATGTTAAAAGCTTAATAATGTGCTATGTGGTAAGTGATGTATGGCGTGGTTTGGTGTATATAGTGTACAGTCCACTCTCCCATAAGCGACCACCCAGGGGCTAGGAGAAAGTGGTCGCTTACGAGAGAGTTAACACAGGAAGCCCAAACAATAGGAATCCTAACACAGGGAGCCTAAACCATTTATAATCTGTAACTCATGTGTTACAACTACTGTATTAACGATTAAACTGTTTTAGTAAACTGTGCTATATGTTTACAGCACTATACATGTACTTGTCAATATTTCGTCGGGTTTTTAATACCCGATGACTCTATGTTCTTAAATTTTTTATTGTTAAAGGATCTGTCATTGACTGGCTCTTGGGTGGTCCCTTACGGGAGAGGAAAAACAATGAAAAATTCCCAAATTTTAAAACCAAAGGTGGTCGCGGCCACTTACGAGAGAGGTTTTTTTACAGAGTTTACATGGGGAACAAAACGGGAAATTCAAAAAATGATTGCTTACAAGAGATATTCGCTTACGAGAGTGGTCGTTCAAAGAGAGTCGATTGTAACATGATGTGGTTTCCCATGGAGTGCTATGGTGAGTGTAAGGTGTACGGTATGGTTACAGTACAGGGCATGGGATTATAAGAGTATGGATTGAAAATACAATTTGGCTGAGATCATACTTTTGGATTGTTTCTAGCAATATATCTTGGCTGGCACTCTCTTGCATCTGTGATTGGTGGTCTCGGCTCAGTCTGATGATGTCACTAAGAGTCTGGGCGGCATTGCTATTTCTCTGTCAAACAAAAATATTTTTTTATGAATAAAAGGAATTTTTAGCATTAAGTTTTTGCAAGTGCAACTGTCCAGTACCCCATTCACACCAAGGCTTAAACATGTTTTAAAGTGGTTTAACTAAACAGGCTTGGAAAACTATCTACGAACACTGCACAATATTTTGTGAAATAATGCATGTAAACTATCCTTTGTCTTGCTCTGACAATATTTTAAAAAGTTACATTATATTGTGGGCTTCTAGTTCCTCAATCTTTTCCAAATGAAAACATAGTTTAACTAAACGCGTTTGGGTGTGAATGGGGTACAGGTCTTCTAACAGCTGTATGAACTTACATCTTCATCAATTTCAGGATCAATCAATGATACCAGGCTTTCTATTAGTTTTTGCTCACTCAACCACTGAAAAAAAATAAGGCAAAAAAAAAAAATTATTTATACATAGAAAGACAGGGCTTTTTGTAAATGAAGAACTACATTATTAATAATAATAATAATAATAATAATTTATTGAATTTATATAGCGCAAATCTCAATTGGGGTATTTTCATTTGCGCAAGATAATATGAATTTTTTCAGATATTTCAGATCACATATTATTCTGTCAAGAATAAGATTCTTTGAGTTTCATCCTCATAAATGTTTTTACTCAAGCATTACTGACGAAGAGAGAATTAATACTCAAGAGTGTAACGTGATCTAAAACATAAAACAGTGACTTTACTATGCTACGCACCATATCATTAACATTTATACAAGCTTTTGATTTCTTTTTGACATCTTTGACAAGCTTTTGACAAGCTCTTTATCGCTAACCAATTAGACATTGGCACTTTTCTTTGGTGTTTCGATAGGCAGAGTTTAAACATCTACAGGGTTCCCAGCCATTTTGAAAATAAAAATTCCCTGACTTTTCCCTAACTAATTAAATAATAGTTTTCACTGACCTTGTTGAGCCACATGGGCAAGCATGGGCCACATGCCTAACTTTTAACTAGGCCCCGCTCTTATCATATTACACAGGATACCCAACATAATTAAACTGTCCAGCATAAATGATACTAAATACTTCAATATTTTTTTCATTATTTGAAAAGATTTATCAGTCTATTCGAAAATTGCAAACAGTATGAGTATCACACGGATACTCATGGTTAATTTTAAACAAAATTCCCTGACTTTTCCCTGACTTTAGTTGATAATTGCAATTTTCCTGACTAAATAAAAAATTCCCTGACTTTTCCCTGACCCCTGGGAACCCTGATCTATGCAACTATATCCAAACATCAAGATGAGGTGCCAATGTCTAATTTATTGGTTAGCGATAAAGAGCACAATTAAAACTTGTCAAAAAGTCGTAGAAATCAAAAACTTTTAGAAATGTTCACGGTACGGCACGTAGCACAGTAAGAGGTGTATTATTTGTCTTTACCTCCATCAAATCACATCTCAGTTGAGGAGATTCAACACTGGTTATAAATCGAAGCAATAAATCCATGATAGCTGAGGTACCCATATGTTTTGTTAGGAGGGATACAAAATCTTCTTTTGTTTTCAAGTAATCTATCATCTGTACAAATGAAAAAATGGAAAAGGAATTAGTAAGAAATAAATAATTAGGAATTCTGTGGAGCAGCATGTAAGCTCCTATTCAGAGAAAACATTTCTAAGAGTACATGTAATTTGTCATGGGATTTAAATATTTGAATATTGTTCAAATTTAAACTCTACCCAAGTAAATGAACAATCTATTATAATACAGTGCTGTAAGAATTCTTAATTAAGTATTATCATTTAATTATGCAAAGAACGTGCATGATATGGAAAAAGACCATGTCTGGTATGAGACCATATCAGCACTTCTCATCTGCTCACTCTGGGTACGATAGAGTTTAGAATGAGTTTGAGCATTTCTGTGCTGAATCTAATGATAAACAACTTATCAGTCGGCTAAGCATCTGATACGGCCTTGCATTTTTACTCGTCACTTGTATTTTGGCTCACTAAAATACTCTGTGACTTGTAAAAATACACAGCCATATCAGATGCTTAGCTGCCTAATAATATTGTTAACTAAATTCTAATATATTAAATTTCTTATATTTCAAGCAATACTAACCAATGATGTTTTTCTTGATATTAAAACTCCTATGACCTTACTGAAGAAACTGTCCAATGAAAAATAATCTTGTTATTTTTTGTTAGAATCACTGTTATGTTATTAACACACTATATCTTTTGCTGTTGTTATCACCATTATCACCACCACAATCATCATCATAATCATCGTTATCATTATCATCATCACTGTCATTATCATCATCGTCACCATTGTCACCCCCACCACAAACATAATCATCATCATAATTACTCTCATTTAACTCTAACGGTGAACACTCAAGTTTGTCAACCAATCAGATTATGAATCGAAAACAACAGAATTTGACTTACTGTACATCTATTGAAAGTTTATAAAGCTATTCAAGGAGATGAAAATTAATGATAGAGAAAGAAAAAATAAAAGTATATTTTGACACATAAAAAATAGATTAAAATAAACTCGAGTTTTTACAATTATAGTAGAAAGACAGTAACCCCTAGCATTATCACCATCACCATCATCTTTATCATTAATGGATTTTTTTTAATTTTTTTTTTTGATTTTTTGATTTTATTTATTATCCTACCTTGCTAGTAGTGGATTCAATGGTGGATCAGCCTCCAAGAATGACCACAATTTGTTTAAAAGGTCCTGTATACCCAAAGAGAATGATGTAATGCATTATAAACAGCTTTGATTAGAACAAAAACATGATTATAATCAAAAGTGCTCATTCATCGTTACCTCACTACTTGCTAATTTATCAATTATAGTATAAACATCTGCTGTAAGGACTTCACATGCCACATTTGAATGCCTACAAGGACAAAATATAGATTAACCTTTGACCAAAATATTCTAAATGCATTGTATTTATGTATTAGATGAATGTATATTTTGGGTTAACCAATACTGGACACTCTTCGTTAACCATGGGTGACCACTTGCCCATTCAGAATGAATATGGTGGATGAACAGATTAAAAAACAAAAGAAGCCAAGTATAAGCCTTTTCATAGTTTAAGAATCGATTCCACTGTGCATGCGATTTTATCCCGAATTTCTCACCTTCTTTTGTTTAATTAAGAACAAAAGAAGGTTTAGACAAAAGAAGATGAGAAATTCGGGATAAAATCGCATGTGCAGTGGAATTGATTCTTAAACTGTGAAAAGGCTTATTATAATGTAGGAAATTTAAAAAAGGCATTTAGAAAGTTTTGACTTCTTCCAGTATAGTGGTTGATATGGACTGTCAAAATATTGAGAGTTACACAAGACAGCTTGACAGGACAGTTAGACAGGGCAGCTACACTAGATAGCTCCACAAGACAGCTACTGTAAGACAGTTACACAAGACTTGTGGAGCAGATTAAAAATATTCTAGTACCATTTTGGACTTGAAAGCTACCATTTGAATATTAATAAGATTTCAAAAATTCACAAATAATTAATGAGCATTTAGACCTATCAGGTCCTTCAAATCCATCATGTGCATGGATCTTTACACCTGATAATAGTTCAACATTGATATCTTTATATAAAGATTTTGAAATCTTTATAAAGGACCAAAGGAGTACAAGAGCATGGCACGAATAAGGACCCTAAGTGCTCATTAATTATTCATGAATATTTGAAGTCGTTTAATAAACTCAAAGATCGTGTTTATCAGGTCTAAAACCATTCGGCTACGCCTTGTTGTTTTAAACCTGATAAAACGCTCCTGCTCATTTATTGAACTATACGTGTAAAGCACCAAACTAAGCAAACAAACAGGACTCCCCTATCATTAAATAGTGAAAACTGGAATGGGAAGTGAAATTGATTGGAAATGATTGCTAATTGAATCGGAAAGGTTAATTACGAGACTGGACATTGACACAAAGATACCAAACAGCTTTTAAAGATTGTTTATTAGATAACTTGGAGGGAGAGTAGTTATGAGAGCATAAAGGAATGAATTCATAGAGATCACTAGTGATGTGATGATTGAAATGAAAGATATAATGCAAAACATTTTCCAACATTAACATGGCACATACTTGTATCTTAGTTTTTCATCAATTTCTTCATCTGGCTCTGAAATAATGAGATCTACTAACTCCTCCAATATCTCTGGTCGAACAAAACTGAAACATAAAAGGCAAAGAACTTATTATAAATATTATCATTTTTTATTAAGATTATAAAGATTGCTATCAACATCAAAGTGTATACATATGTATGATGTAAAGCTTATGAGAATGGACTATTTTTAACCAGGTCATGACATTGTTCATTTAATCCATTAGTCAAAAATGTTTAAAATCTACATACGACTCTCCTGGCTAAATAAATCTAATTCTCCTAGCATAGAAATGCTACAGGAATTTCAGATCATGCAAAATTAACTTTCTTTTAAAGTGCTTAT